TAGATGAGGGCAGCGTCGAGAGGAACATATAGAAGAGTCATGGGTAAATTGGTCGGTTTTTATGCGTCTCTAATCAGTATATCTTTCACATGAGAGAACAAAATTACATTTCAATTAACGTTACGACAACACGAGTGGGAGATTAAGCGTTGAAATGAAGAGATGCACTCCGACTGTCAGTACTTATCATTAATCCTTAATATTCTCGTAATTAATAATTCATGAAAGTGAAGAAATGTGCTGATTAAATCTGTACGTCTTGAGACTTCGGTAATGAATACGCCCGCGCTTCACATACGCTCGACACGATAAGATATCGAAACGGCATCAGCGCAATTCAGACACTAATTAACACCTTTAGCGCGATTAACTCTGCGCAACGCGCTATACCCTTTACGATAAAAGGCTGATACTACCATGGGCTTTAAGGTTGAGCCAAGCGAGCTGCATCCTACGCTCTAGTAGGCAATTAATAGTTACCTACAAAGGGAAAAAATAATATTTGCGGAAATAGAAAGAAAAAAGGTAGAACGTGTTATAAAATACCGATTTAATCCCGGATAATCCCGATGATGATACAATAAGATACTTTCTAGGGAAATCCCTTTTTGTACATCATATATTTATATATATGCGATATTTTTGAATAAATTAAATTTATCGAAAGTCTCATTAGTTGCAATAAAAACAGAGACTAGTAATACAGATAGGAACTGCAATATTTTTGAGCAAAAACGTAGGGAATATTACTGCACGCGTTGCTAGCAGAAAGCAGGAAATGCAGAGATATGGGACATACGTCGCCTATCATCATGAGTGCATTTTCGGCGAGATTGCGTAAATATAAATTACACAAATCAAATGGGAAAACAAGATGAAAGAAGATTCCACTCGTGCTCTCATATGGAGCTTGTATATGAAACACTTATGAGCTATTCGCAATCGTTTGACTCAAGAACAACACCCATCGACCCAGCCACGATTCCCGCGAGTTCCCAAGCCCTCTCCCCTCTTCAAGTCCGCCCTCGTCTCATGCTCTTCCTCGCGTATCTCGCCCGTGTTACTTATCCGTGTTGCAAAAGTCGGCGCGTCGCTGCGAAATACCGTGCAAAATCGGCCGACCCGACGTCAAAAATTCGGCTCGCTACGAACTCATTTTCGAAATACTTGGCCGAATTGCATCGAGTGAATTCACCCAGCTACTCCGTTTTAAAGTGAAACTTCGTTTATCCGAGCCATTCTCGCCGGCTCAGATACCTGGGGAACCACCGCAAAATAGAACGTTCGATAATATCCCTTGGAAATTGACCGGCGCGGATATGAGACAGTTATAGAGAAGATATATTTTCGAATAACCCGATAAAAGTGCCGGCGGATGAGACCGGACAATAAAACTTCTTATAGAATGCTAAAAAAATGGAACTGCAACAAACATAATCCGTGAGCCACGAAGTTCTCCCTTTAAAACAGGAAATATATAAAAATGATAACGGCAACGCGACTGTTTGTGACGGCGCACGGTGGATGAAGGAAGCACATATGTGCGTGTCAACCTCTCTGGAACAAATTTGCAAGAACGAAAAGAGGAAAGTATCTCTGAGGAAAAGTCTGCTGTTAAAATATATTATTTCCACTCGTATTAGAATATGAAGTCGCTGCTTCTATCATAGCGATACACTTATCTCCTCCATGTAAGATTATACTACGTATAAGATAGCAGGACGTATGTAAATATTCTTATTATCCGCTTTGGGCAACGCAAAGTTCTCATTTACAGTTTAAAGAACTGTTCTAGTTACGCCTGCATCATCGATAAGAAGCAGTTACGCATGTCTGCATAAACCGCTGTGTGTGCGATTTTTTCTGATATATTTATCCCCGCGCCCCTCCATTCAAGGATACCGAGCATATCACGAACACGGTATTACGCGCATGAGAAATGGCTCGCGTGTCACTTACACGAGTAAGACTCCGCGGATAGATCTGGAAAAATGATAAAAATCGCCGAGTGACGATACATCATCGGTTGATATCAGAGCTCGATGATCGATAGTCGCATTGTAAACGGCGACACGGAGAGCACAGAGGATAACGCAAAGATGACAGAGAAATCAATAAGCAATTTATCACGCCGATCGAACTTTTTATCGATAATACCTACAATTAGGCGTAACTATATAGCGAAACTTTTAATGTATGCAAAACGGGATTCTTTGGGATTGTTGCAACATGGTCGCAGTTACGTCTTAAAGTCGCGACACTAGTCCGTGAATCGATCATGCACTTATTTTCCTCACGTAAAATTCCCTTCGTGAAAAATGAAAAGTTTTATTGAACTGGTCAGTGAATCTTTTTCACGAATTTATGCGAATAAAAAACAGACATATGATAGATTCACAGACTAGTATTGCGACTTAAATCATTTATAAGTCGAAAATATATATTAAAAGTGATATCGATAACTAAAAACATCGTGCCTGCAATAAACAATTCTACTCTCTCCTCTAATCATCTTCGAATATTATGAACGATGCGCCTCGATGAAACCACCGTGTGCGATGTACTTGAAAAAGATTGTTAGCTCACTTACCTGTCATTTACAGCAAAAATGTACCTACAACTGTGAAAAATACACTCAATACACTTCATAATAAATTGTAAAAAAAAGTGAAAAACTAGAGCACTTCGCTGCACAGTTCCTCTATTGAAGAAGAATTGATGGTAAAATTCGAACACGGCTTATGAAACACATATTCGTGTTTGTTGCGTTAGTCTCAAATCCAACAGATTAATATTTTTATCCATTTTGACAGGCGAGATATATATTTCCAGTTGATTGAATTGATTTTTGTGCAAAATACTTCAATGGAAATTTAACTTTCACGCTTCGCAGTGGAAATTTAACTTCCACGCTTTTCTGCGTACACATCATGTCTCTATTTTCCGGACCGTATTCAAATGCATATATGAATGACAGCACATTTTCATTTTTTCCCGACGCATCAAAAAAGTGTACCGATCACTGCAATATGTGACACGTGAGGATAATCACCATGGGCAGCTCGGCGAGCACGTTTTCACGATAATTCGAGCAAACATCATTTTTATTTCACCTTTACTTTACTGTACAATAATCGACTCATACTATAATCTTATCTGCAAGCTGAGAAAGATAACATTTATTAGATTAAAGCCCATAAAATCATGAAAAAAGATCCAAAATCGCGATTCCCGTTCGGGGTTTTCCACATTATCATCTCAAGAGTAATATTCGATTCTATGATTAGATCAATACATCGCGCGACCTATTTTGGTACGGAAATCGCGATAAACTCGTTTATAAACGCATAATAATATAAATTGCAGCACAAAATGAGATTCTCGTTAATGTATGCGACACGTTGCGTCAGCGATTTTCGCGCGAGATGCGATTCGAATGCCGTATCAAAGTACATTAAAATTCATGACAACGATATTAATAATTTATAACGTTAATACTTGACGTTAATGTGATAATTAGATAATTAATTCTTTGACTCACTGGAAATTGTCGAAAACGAAAATTCTCTCTGCGGTCTACGACAATGCAGAATATTCATTCGTTATTCGCGTAAACCTGCATGCCGATTTTGCCGTTAATTAGCTGCATTAATTACAACGCACTTTAACATCATGCGATAAGTCGATCATTACCGCCATCTACTGGACGACATTACAACCAATATTCTCTGTACCTAGTATTGGTAAGACATAAAATTTCAAACTTCCGTAGAATAAAATAATAACAGACAAGATCAAAATATTTTATGTTGATGTCTAGAATTTTAAGAAAACTGATTAAGAAAAGTAATTAAAAATATAAAAAGATGAATTAAAAAAAAAGAATTAAATTTACTTGCAATCCTCTTGTGATTTCATCTGAGAAAACTTGTAAGATTTTCTTCCCTTAGATAAAAGTATTTTGAACGAAATTTATTTGTACTTGTGTACACATATACTACTCGACTGGTAAAACAGTTTCCTTCATGTGCCACGCGCACCCACCCATGCGAACACAAGCAAATACACGCGGCGAAAGAAATATCTGAGCCGGTACTTGCACTTAATTAAAGTAAATTAGAGGTCATCGGGGGACAAGTAAGCGCGGACCGGTTGACACCCGGTATAGCGAGAACCAATCTACTGGCGCCAATGCGATGGCCCAGATTTCGCAGCAGCGTCAACCGATTCGTTTTTCACGTCCCACTTTTTGTCGACGGCGATCGCGAGCAAAGTAATTCAGCTATCCGTGCCGTGATCTCTAAAAGAAGAAAAAAAAAAAGAATAAAAGGAAAAGAGGAGCGACGCATCCGTTTTAACGCACCGTTGATCGGGTTGAAATTCATATGTATGGCGCACAGATTATTCAAATTAATCTCTTATTTAAAACTGAACGAAGCGAGAGTGACAATATTAATATTTTGTGTTAATTGCTCCAAACAAAAAGAGTCACGTCGTATATAATTACGGCATAAATATCGCTATTAATAAATGGATATTTTTAACTGACTCACATTATAATATTAATCGAGGCAGCGATAAATATTCTGCAAATGCAAAAGCTCTCGTTTCACATAAAGGACAACTGGTTATATTCGAGATATCCACGGCATTTATCGAACTTATCTGCTTTCATTTACTTCAAGGTACATACCTATTCTGTGTATCCGACTTTAAAATGCAAATTTTTGTGTAAGATAACCGTAATGCCACATCGATGACAAGGTTGTTTAACGTGCGCACGTTAATCCATCAAAGCCGCAAAGTCACGGCAGGGTATTGTTTCCATAAATAGTAATTAAGACTGATCATACTGTAATCACGATCTCTTATCTCCTTTCAGTAGAAAGGAGACGAATGATTACTTAAACTTTGCTCCGCTCCCACTGACGTTTATTGGTACGCTTACATATCTGGCGTACTAATTTATGAAAGCAATCAACGCATGCACAGCCACTTACCTCCGAGACAGGGACGAAGGCACTAGGTCCGTCGAAGGCCGGTACCGGCACTGGAAGTCCTCTATCCTGTAACAAAAACAAAATTCTTCGCTGTATCATTTCTGACCTCCACTACGGAACTGATGTAATTCATCTGAGTCTACCAACAGCCCGGCTAGCTCAGTCGGTAGAGCATGAGACTCTTAATCTCAGGGTCGTGGGTTCGAGCCCCACGTTGGGCGAGTTATTTTTTTCTTTCCGCACAGCAACTCAGAAGCGATATTTATTCCAGTAACTTTCGCGTTGTGTACTTTTAAATAAAATAACAAAAGAAACAAGAGAAGTGAACAAAAAATATAACGCTTGAGCAGTTGGTTTGTGACTGCAATTCACGAACACCTGCATTTGAAAACGTCGTCATTTATATTCTTTATGGCCAATATTTTCAACTCTTTTTATCGCTAAAAGCGTCTTCAAAAGTGGCTTACAGCCAATCATTTTTAGAGGTGCTTTCAGTGATAAAAGAGAGCTCAGAATGTGAACTTTAGTCAACAAGATAGATTGCTTTTCTTGTTCGATTACGAGACGATGAGAGAATTAGAGATATTTTGCAAATTGCACGCCATTATCGACGTCGGAATACGACACATTGTATTTTACGTGTAAAGTCTCCTTCCTGGCTTCCCGCCGACTTCGTGCCTGAAAACCGTTCTACACTATGTACAAGCTTTACACACAAGTCGTATCGATCGGCCTCGAGTGTGACAATATCGGTGAGCATAACCGTCGCCGAAACGATGGATTCTATTCACATCTACGTACATGCGCGCGCGCGCGCACGTTTGGTGTACATTTTTCCGCTGAGTCGTCTATTAATACGGCTGAAATATCCATCACGTTTTTAAATTCGCGTGTAATCCATCCGTACATTCATCCGTTTCGCTTTTTCCGTCAAATGTAGCTTGTGCATTCGTGAAATTGATTAATATCGCATACACAGGACTATTGGAATGAAATTCATCAAGGGAGAATGTATTAGTTGTCCTCTTGCAAACTAACTCCACGAATCGATCACGATATGACGTAATAAAAGAAAAAATAAATATATAGTTTTCGAAATTAAAGCAAGGGAAATGCATGCGACTCTGATCCCGCAAAGTCAAAGATATCCGATTATTTTTACGGTCTTCTGTCATTCTGCCTGACGAACGAGATCCGAGTGTATTGCTTTGCGCCCTTGCAAGCGTGAAGACCAAGGAAAGGAGTGACGTTAAAATAATATGAGGCTCTGTCGGCCGGAAACATTTTTTACTCTTCGATTTTACACCGTTTCGATCGCCTCTATTTTCGTTTCGGCTCGAGTATTTACAGTGCATTCACAGCGACCGATCGTTCCTTGACATTGGCGCGGCGCGTGATTATACATCGTCAAGTATTCCTCTCAATGGCGTTGGCTGATTAGTTCGATTCGCCGCGCTCTTTCGGAAAGATTGACTAGCGCCGTAATAAGATTAATGACCGTCGTAGAATTCAGAGGGAACTACCTCCGTGAACGGCCCCGGCGGCTTAAACCGCGAGAACTACTAGCTGACGGGATATTTTTAGGCCGCAGTTCAAACGCGTCCCCAAAATAGCCAGTCAAAACAACTCCATTAATATAACCTAGGTTACCACTATCCCGTTTATCTTTTATGCATAAGCACATCCTTCGCCGGACCGTTCCCACACGCACTCGTTCTACTACTTACGAGTTAAAACGTCCGCGCCGCGGAAGATATCATTTTCCCCGTGATTAATGACCGTCTCTCAAAGTAGTCCGTTCGGAAACTTTTCAAGACGGATCCCGAGATTAATTAAAGCAATGTGGAGGAACGAATTATGAAGAAGCGAGAGGTCCCTTCCCTCGAAAGAAGAAATCTCTCGCCGTTGAGCAGGTTAATCAGCAGCTACTACCCCGGTCGCTCGAAATGCACGAATAGCTACTGCGAGACTTTGTAATGCGAGTCTCGCGGTGGTTTATTTATTAGAGCAGAGTTACGGCGGTGCATTAAGAGCGAGGATACAAAGTCACAGCGCCGTAAGAATCGCGCTCGGCAGTTACTCTCCGCGAAGGACTCGGATAAATTGCCGCAAAGCTGGAAAGATAAAGCTTGAAATATTCTGGACAATCTCAATTCCGCCGCGGAATGTACAGCGTATCTCAGAATTATTGCACTTCCTCTCGAGGCGCAGATACTTACAGCCCGAGGAGAATTGCGACTGCTCCGAAAACCGCAACATTTTGCAGGGTCGCAGCCTTCCTTCGGTTACATCCCCCCCCCCCCCCTCTTTCGAGTTTGAGCAGACATTAATATTCGGGAAAGTTGCACGAATCATGGATGGTGAGTGAAAGGAAGTAACGCAATCTCACTGTTTGATCTCAAAACAACTTGGGCAATGCGTGGCAATCGCCTTCGGAGCTACGCAACGACCGCCTTGACGACCGCTCGTGTTCACCATAGAAATTGCAAAAGTGCCTTCAGGTCAATAGGTGATTTGTCTCGCAGAACTGAGAGCAGGTGCAGCAAGTTCTAGAATACCCTGTACATACGTACGCGTTAGTGTGCTTGTTCCTTCCTTTGTGTTTGCCGACTGTGTGTAACGCGCGCCCCGGCAACGTCTTCGGCTTCGCCTCGCGTCGTCTAATAAACCACGAGGAGCACGCGGATACGAGAAACGAGGAACGCCCGTTGGTCGGGTGCAAACCTCCGCGCGGGGACCGACGCGAAAGAATTTCGGCCGAGAGTACTCGAGAGTGCAAACCTCGTGAGCGTATTAACGGACGTCTGGCGAATGTTCCCCCGCGACTTTGCGAGCGAAACCGCGACCGCCGCATCTAGGCTATCCGTTATCTCGCATCGGTCGTTTCGCGAGAGTCTTTTTCCGTCGGAATGTCTCGTGTGTTCTGACTCACAGAGCAATATTTAATTATTCTCGAAGCCTGCACGCAGATAACCACGGACAACACCGCGGCGACGACAAGTGATTTTTATTTGCGATTTCCTCTCGAGACGAGTTCGTCGTGTTTGCGAGAAATTGACAGGATTTGCACGAGGCAAAAACGAGATCCGTGTTTCGAGCGAGCGAATGGATCGATTGACTGATTACCTTAGCAATTAACGTACGGTTCCTCCATTGCGACAAGCGACAAGTTAATTCGAGCAGTCAAGAATTAATGATAGCTACTACGAGATCGGCAAAATAAATACGACTTGTGAAAAGTTAAGGAAAAGCGAAAAGCGCTTATTTCTTTCAAGTTAAAAAGAATTATTCAAAATAAAATTATTCAAAATAAGAGAATATCATATAAAGCAAAGTGTTAAGCCCAGATCCTTAAAATAAGCGATCGACTGACATAAATGTAAATTGACATAAATATAAATTGATTATTCTCTAAAATATAATCGTAAGTGTATTCTTCATTAAAATGCTATACTTTTAAATGATGGTTCATTTATGAGTATAGCACTGCAATCAGTAGAATCCCACTGAAAGGATTGGTTAATAGTGACAACCTCATTATCGATGCACTTTGCAAATGTAGAAAGTTGGATTTAGTAATTTTTAATTTGGTGCAAGTTGGCTAAATGTTAAATTTCCATTGAAAGTCAGTGAAATATTCCCATTATTTTCCATTCAGTCGAAAACATTTTCGCCGATTGATTTTAAGTGAACAGAATATGAAGAATACTTTGTTCGGAACTTTAATTCGGCATTTAAACCGTAAACGCTCTGAAACAAATCAATTTTTGCTTACCTTTACCATCTCGAGGATCTCCGCGCACTTGATCCTGACGTTCTGGAAAGGACAGTTGACGCTGAGCCTGAGGATCACTGGCAGGTGCAGCGTCACCAAACTGAGATATTTGTTGGCCTGCGCCTGTCTGGGCCCGTCCAAAGCATTACCCAGATTCAGCATCCTACCGACGTCGCCGGGTGTCACTTCCGGACTCTCAAGCACTCTGCCGCTCTTAGAGGACACGTCGTCGTCCTGAGAAAGCGGCCTCTTGATCTGCCCGGCGCTGAACTTCCGCTCGTCGTTCTTGCGCAGGTAGTCCTGCTCGGATCGCGGCCGGCGAGAATCCTCCGCGTTGTCGTCGTCGCCGCGCGCGTAGATCGCTTCGTCCTCCAGATTCACGTCCAGGTTCATACGCGCGGAATCTCGCGCGTTATCCTGGCGATAGAGCTCGACGACGCTCTCGTTCTCGAAGCCATCCAACGTGTTGAAGACGACTCCGTCGCTGCGACGCGCGCTCGCCGCCTCGCTTTCGTTGAAGGACACGTCGTCGTCGGCGCCCCCGTCGTAGTACCGACGCTCGTGCGTCAACATGTCGCCACCGCCACTGCCGGCAATCTTAGATCGACGATTCAGGTTCCGACAGTCGAATGCGGAGGTAGCTTCACCGCGCGGGTGCCCGAAGCCGCTCAAGTTGTCGTCGAACTTGGGACTCTTGCCGTACACCCTCGTGTCTGCGTCAAGCTCGTCATCTTCCAGTTGCTTCTGCTTGGCGCCCTTCACCTTCGCGTAGCTGCTCTTTGTTCTGCCGGGGCAACAGTCGTCGCTCGACCGATCGCTCGACGACGAACCGGGATAGTACTTGCGCTCGTTCTCGCAACTGGAGTCGAAGCGTGGTTCTGAGCCGAAGCGTGGCTCCGAACCATCCTTGAATCGCAGGCACCTGCCTTGCTGCTGCTGTTGCGTCGGCTGTTCGATCTTGAAGCCCTTACCACCCTCGTCCGAGGACGTCGAGTGGCCGGACCTGCAGCTCTCGACGCCGTCGCCGGTGTACCTTCGTATCTCGTTGCCGAGACGACCGTCCACGCAGTCGAATGAGTCGGCCGGGTATCTTTCCGAGCATTCCGGATTGTTCTCCTCGAGGAAGGTTGAGCCGTCGTTCACACTCTGCGGGAAGAAACCTTCCGTTCGGAACGAATCTTGCAGCAGCAGCTGGTGTTGAACGCTCCTCGGGGACGACCTCGTGGGCGAGCGTTCGACGTTCATGTCGTATCTTTAGCCAAATACGAATTGATTAGAGATCGGACATGTGTGTCTAGCTTCCATATTTTCGTCAGATAAAATTGTAAATGTACAAGTGAAATAAGAGATTTTGCTCTAATCAGGAAAGGTTATACATTATTAAAGTGAGAACTCGAGATTGATATGTCCGGAGTTGTAACGGTTGAAATGTTTGTAGAATAGCTCTGGTGAGCTAAACCGTTGATTAATCGCGCTGGAATCAAATAATCCCGAGGCAAGTTATGCTAAATGCAGTACAAACGGCACTTGTGAAATGATTTCTCAGTCGCTGTTTACTTCCGCAAAATCGCTATTGCTATCTTGATTTTCCATAAACCGTGTTACATTTGAACCGGAATATCTTTTTTACTCGCGGCTCATTCAATGCAATTATTTATAATTATCTCAATTTTTAATGCCTGGTCTTTCTATAATTACATAATCATTATCTATTATCGATTCTTTCCCGGGATAAAAGATAAAATCGTATAAAAAATAAAATCGCCTGCGAGGAATGGATTGTGAATCTGGTTCGAATTATCTGAATTTTCAGAAAAAACTTAACGGATCCGCGACATTTCGTTTTTGCAGTTACGCTTAAACGAGTATAATTTCCCTCTCGCGTTTATTATTAATCCCCATAACGTGCACATTTTAATGAGCCGCTCGTGATTATTTAAGTATCGCGTTTGCGTCGGGCTTTACGTGTTTGCGTGACTGAATGCTGATATTAAATCCAGAACCAATAATTTGCCGAGAGGGAGAAAGAGCTCGCGGAATGAAATATTTGCACCGATTAAATATGTCTGCTCGATCAGAATTATGATACGATGCCAGATTATTTTAGGAAGTATTTATTACACGGCAGACCGCACACATCATTTGTTATTTGATAATCGTTAATTGATTAATCATTAATTAATGGTTCGAATAATTGATGCCAGTAAACAAAGTTATTCAACAAACGGTACAATATTATAATATCGCGCTCTCAGGTGACATGCCGGTATTTATTAAACAAAGCAAATAACAGGATGATCCAATTAATTGTTACATAGCGGTCGAATCCCTAAATATGTGGTAACTACATGAAGGCACACACGAGATGTACGGTGACAATATAATATCCGTATTACTTTCAAAGTCACCGAATTCGATCTATGCACGGAAAAAACAACTTTGTCAATGTAACTGAATTTTCTGTTACTTTGAGGAACAGATGAAAAACTCGCTTGTAGAAACGGAAAGATTTTACTAGGAGGTTTCTGCTCAGTCAATCAGTTATCACAACCGAATTTTAATGCAGCTGAATGTTCAGAATGTTCGAGTGTTTCCGATCACAACGGAGATATTATTTCTTATCAGCGAATTTTTCCTCTGGTCCCCATTCAGTCACGTGTAATTTTTTCTTCCGCGTGATCGCGATCCATGTAATTCATTTATCCAACCGACAAATTAACAGGGACACTCACCTTCCGTCCTGAGCCGAGAATTTTCCGGCAGCGTTCTTGCTGTCCTCGATCTCGCCGGCGTCCTCCCAATGATTCGGACTGCCGACACCACCCAGCCATCCTTCGACGGTGGTCCTGGCCGCGGCCAGGGCAATGTTCCTGGCTGCCTCGTCCCTGGCGCAGAGCGGCGCCAGGAATCTACTGACAAGCTCGACTTCGTCGCCCTTAGTAGAGGCGCCGCTGCCCGACGAACTGTTCGGCTCTCGGTACATATCCTTTTCTCGTATCCCTGCGCACGTTGTTTTCCTTCGCTCCGCCCGATCCTTTCCGGAATACGTTCACCCGTCCTCGAGGCAATCGCACGGATAGCGGTAGTGTATTGAGGCGCCCGCGCTCAGCTCGATTCCCAGGATAAACAGCGCGACAGACGGACGGGATGTTCCGTATTTTTCTTCCCGCCGAATCGTCTTTTCTCTCCTTCGCGGGCCGATATCTTAGCTATTTCGCGAGCTCGTTGCACAATCCTCCTCCGTGCCTCCGAAACGCCGCGAAAGATCCCCGGCACTGTAAGTTCAAATAGCTCTCGCTGTCATCGGGCTTTCGTCCGTTTCCTAATCTCGATCGCATAGATCGCCTCCACGATGCGTACGATTCCTTGCGCGAATCGACCTCACTATCATCGTTCTCTGAGACTCTCTCTTCTACCGAACAACCTCCCTCAAACTTACTCATTCGATCTCTCTCATCCTTTCACTACTTCGCTCTCAAACTCGTTTAAACTTACACAAAATCTCCCCCTTTCTGATCTTTCGCCTCAAACGATCGTCCGCGCGATTAAACGGTACTCACGCGTTCCCGTTTTCCAAAGTCTTCCCTCCCAAAGTCTAGCAAAGAAAGAGGCTGAAGGAAAAAAAAACGTACGAGAGTTAGATCGCGCGCGCTATTCTCGCGTAATTACGCTCGTTTCGTCTCGTTTCGCCGTGAGAATCGGCTGTAAAACTCGTTTCAAGAAGATTTTACCGAGCTGCGGTGCACCTCGGGATACGTTTCGGGACGATAGAAAGTAGGCAGACGTCAGCCGCTGCGTCGAGGCGATCTATCGAGTCGGAGGGCGGGAATAGGTGGAAGGCAATCGAACGATTCTGACGAATCTCGCACGGAGGAAACGATCGAGCAGGAACCCTCTAATTTGATCGACTCCGATCGATCGTAACGCACCTCTCCTTTTCTTGTCTCTTCCTTTTTCCCGCTTCTTATCTTCCTTTTGTGTTCGTTTCTCTCTATATATCTCTATTTCCCCGTATCTCCTTTCCTCTCTATCGCTGTCTCGATTTTGCACACGATTTCTTTCTCTCACTAATGTTAACGCTGCTACGCAATCACAAATCACACTTCTTCCTTCCCTTTACATCGTTACCGCACGCGCTCTTTGCCGAACCTTTCGCGAAACTTCCGTACCGTTTGCGTGGCCTGTTCGTGTTTCTTCCGCGCTGGTTTAGTCCATGGAATATCTGAAATCAGAGAAAAGAAAAATATCTCGATGATTCACAACTACAGATTATCCATTAGGAAGAAAATATTATGTACAGAATGCTGTAGAACTGATGGAAGCTGACTACCGCGTTATATCTTCTATAACTCGAAAGGTTCTAACAATTTTACAATTATCCGAGAAACATAAAACTTTACATTTTACATACTGTTTACGCATAAAACTTTAGAAACAAATGCGAGCAAATGATGGGATATCATTCTTCGATTCAACTGCGAGTGAGTGTATCAGCGGATTAGATGCTCTTGTTACGAAAATATTGAATATTACAATTTGAAAAATTGTAAAAAGTGATGGACTTCACGACACTCCCGCTAAATCCATTCGAAATTGAACGAGCGAAAACGCTGAGAGTGCCCACTTTCCGCCAATTCAGTAGCACCACGTGTACTTGGACGGAATAAGAAAGTTTCGTCTATACGGACGAAATCATTTTCTTCTAGCGAATTCTTTTCTATACAAAATGAATGTAGGTAAAGCTCGGAAAATACCGCCATCAGGGCGAAACGATCAAGGCATCGATCAGAGAAAGAGGAAATGAGACGCGCGGCAAAAAGACACAAATTATGACGCGGGAAACGCGAACATTTCGTTGAGTGATTTCATCCTGACCGTATTGAACTTCAATTTACCGTCGTCTGACGCGCCTCGATCGATCTTATGCTTGCTCGATGGACGTAATATGTTAGCGACGTAAGCTCCTCTTCTTCCCTCTTCCCTCCCCCCCTAATGGGTGGAAACACTTTTCAACGGTACGTAATAACTGACGGATTATCCTTCGGCAACGAACATTATGCAATAGCAATCAAGATCTATAATTCTTAAACCTTGAGAAAATAGTATTTTGCGGTACAATTGATTTTCGCAATTGAACACTCAATTCTATGAGCTATAAAGTGGATTAATTTCGACATAGCTTTTAACTTACAAACGATACGATTACGACAAAATCGCGATACAGTTCTCCACGATACTTGTAATCTGTATAATATATAAAAGCTCATCTGCAATACGTGGAGTAAGCTTGACGCAAGTTGGAATAAGAAATAAAGAGGAATTTATTTCAGACTTACGCCTGTATTCTGGTTCCCTTACACCGAAGGTATTTCTCGTAAGTAAGAGAAATACTTCCAGTGTAAGAGAGCCAGCGTACAGACGTGAGTGAAATAAATTCTTTTTATTTCTTACTCCAACTTGCGCTAAGCTTACTCTGCGTATTGTAGACGAACCTTAATACGCGTATATAATATTAGAGTCACGTAAAGGAAATAGCGTTTCGTTAATGCAAAAATATATGTATTCGCGGTTAACTGGTGTTGCTGACTAATGTCGGATGATTCAGAGCGATCAGCTGAGTTAATTTATGAGTAACAACGTACCGAGTGTCCTAACATGAAGAAGCGAGACATGGACGATAGCGACGAATTTAAAGGCTACACGGTTAGTGCCTCCCGAAGCGAGTTAATAATAGCAAGTAATTAATTATCATTTTATCGAGATTGCGCAATTAATCAATATCATGGTACGGGTGGTCTGCGATTTGATTGATCGATTGTCGTGAGAGGAAGCCTGGGTCAAGGTTGCGAGGTTGGGAAATAAGAAAGGTCGCGTCAGGACAGCAATTTATCGAGGGACGGGAGAATAAAACGTCAAAGGATACAAAGGAAGATGCACTTTCACGAAAAATAAATCGACGAGGATGACACGCTATTTAAATTAGCGATGTGTTCCAGGAGAAAGAAACCCGATTCAAAGAATAAATCTCACAGTATACGCTATTGCGCTATTGCGCAAACGCACTCACGCGTATTTCATACGAGCATTTTCTTCTTACGTAAGTTGTGGAAAAGGCCTCGGAGGAGTTGTAAGCTGTAACGTTCAGCGTTCCACCGCCTCGGTCGTTGCCGAGGAAAATGTTTTCAGCGTTATTTCTGTCTCTCCGCGAGACACTTGAAATTCACTCCCGCTCGTTCCCGATCCGAATATTAAGCCGGTAATTGACTCGACGACTTCATTATCGAGTCGATATAAGCAAATCAATCAACGACGCGTTACAGTTATCACCGCGCAACGTACAATATGTTGATCGGTCTTAACGGGGGCTTTAGAAACTCAGTCATCTAGGACGTGGCGTTACACGCGTCATTTCTACAAACTTATTATTATATGATTAATGGGATTTCCCGGTAACACACTTGGGTCAAAGTATAACCTTACACGTAACACTTTGCAGTTAGACTTTGATATTAGCGCTGGCACTTTTACCATAACCAATGCCACCTGATTATACTCTTTACTATATTGTCGAGCGAATCATGAGACTTTCGTGCGAAAATATGTCACGAGAATGTGTTTGTAGTCAGATGTATGGAGATATAATTTCGCTCAATAAATGCAAACTAAGGGAATTTATATAAATTAAGAGAACATGATTTACTAAATTCGGCCACTTATTGTATCTCATATCTATTGCGAAAAAATTTGTATTTTGTTGTCGATAAAATAAAAGAAAAATATTAGAATAAGTTTTGGCAGAAACATAGAGATCAATATTTCGTCATGCACTTGATGGGAAGAAGCAGAAAAAAGATTGAGATCGTTCAAACTTGCTGTTGATTCTTGAAGATTCTGTGTAACCTGTTTTGTCCACTATTTTTTATTATCGTTATTCACTATCACTATTTATGATGGAACAATCTGATCAACACCTGATCGCTTCGCTTCGCTGTATAATTAAGGAAATGATCGGAGATAATCAGATAGCCGGCAGCGGCACTCATAATCACAAAGTTGCAGATCAGCGGCGCAGTGCAAAAAGCAAGCCGAGAGAACGCGAAATAATTGTCCACGCGAAAGCGACTTTTGCAAAAATAGAAAAATCGTTATAAATGATAGATTTCCGTGTAAATATCTGCTGATCTCTATATAAATACCGCTGAAAAAAAATTAAACCAGTTTGTAACTGCCGATAATTACCCCAATGAGATTGTATTCCATTATTTTTTGTGTGTATCAAGAAAATAATTACATCAATTATTGCATTTATCGCTATGCTGATTTATTCGAGTAACCATATAAGGTCTGTTTATGAAAATTAACAGGAAGATAGATGGACGAGTGTTTAAGTTATCGCTAACCACGCTGAGGTCACTGGAAAATGTGCGATACGTGCAAATTTAGAAATTCACTAGATTTTCATCGTAACCCTAACAAGAATTCGGAACGTCCTTCTAAATGATCAAAATGAAATATGCAAGACTGATAGCTCGTGACACGCGGTAGTCTTCTGCGAAAATTCCTACTGGAAGACACATATCAAACTGAAATTGCTCAAAGAACTCATAGATGAAAGATGGCTTTCGCCAGATCTGGGACAAGTTGTATATTTATGTCGTTGCACGTTGCGCGCGCGTCTATCGAGTTCCCCCTGAAATAATCCTAAAGCTCTCTTGACTCTGGTCCACGTATCTCTTATCTCGTTGTGCCTTCCTTTCAGTTTTCTCTACCTCTTTGGCTCCGTTCGGTTCCCCGAGCGCGCGCGCGATCTCCGTGACGATCTAAATATTTATAACGCCCGAAGCCTAACCCTTCCACTCCGCGCGGATATGAATTATTAATGCCGCGACCATGCTACCGCATGCTCGCGCGCGTCGCCGTGCATTCCCGATACCGTACACTTTGTCTTGGAGATATAAGGATGGTCAGGGCACGTCGCGAACGTGCGAGGCGATAAAGCGATCGCGCGGCTCCGCTCCGCTCGCCTCGCTTCGCCATGCTGCGGCGCGACTTGTCTCGCTTAAGCGAATTAAACGGAACGAAACAGAAGCGCGGTTTAACGCCGCCCGCGAAGTATATATACCGCCGTAATTTCGCGCGCGGAATTTATTTCGCGAGCGCGTGTCGCACGAGGGCCGTTTACGTCGCCCAAGAGAGAAGGAGAGTTTTACGACTCGCACGATCGATCGTCGCGATCCGCACGCAGTTGCAAGATCGTCTCTCTTTCTCTCTCTTTCTCTCCTCAGTAATGACTTTTTATTTACGAGACCGACGCCGCGGATGAGATTAACTCGACAAAAATATATGAGCAACGGTAAATTCGCGCGTTTCTTCTTCACTCTGAATTGGCGTCGGACGTTTTTTATACGCTCTGTCTCTCACCGATTCTTTCACCAATACAGGATACAGTTTTCGACTCGTGAAACCGTGAGATTCCTTATTTCGAGGAGGCTCTCTCTCTCTCTCTCTCTTTCTTCCCTTTCATTCTAGCTTTCTCATTGATATCTAACGACTTTCGTATCTCGTATAATTGAGAATGTTGGTAGTACGGTCTCTCGAAATCGTGAGTCCACCACTGCATACAAGTCGTGTCGTTACTTTATGCGTCCTTCGATGAAGGAAATGCAAATTCAGCATCGACGACTCAATAAATAACGATTCGCGCTAGAACGAAAACGGCATCATCAGGATTATTTTCGCGAGTCGAACTAGCACACTGTCATGGCACCTGGCACCAACGTGTACAGCACTAAGAACGCGAAGGAGGTAGTGCCTGATACGATAGCGTGTCATCTACGATTCATGCGAAAACATATACTATTTCCTTTTTTACTACCGTTACACTGTCGAAATAATGGATCTTTAAGTAGCAGTACCTAAGTGCCTTTTATAGCGAGTATCGTTTCTTTAAGTACCTCTTTCTCTTTCCTTCTCTCTCTTTCTCTGATCTTTGTTTATTTTGAGATTATTTTTCCACGCTTCGAGTCGACGATTTGGGCATGATAAAATTTCGGCAACAAGATTCCGTATACGCAGATTTTATTCTAAACTACTTCTACACTAAGAAAGAAATACTTGAACATTTATTGATGAGATATAAAGTTGACTCACAGAAATAAATTTTGTTTTACCGAAATAAACTTAATATGGCACAAATAAGTTCAAGTATTTCTTCTCGGTGCA